TAAATAAAAAGTGTTACTAATAGTTTAAAAAATTTACATTTTTAAAAAGTATGTCTTAATAATTTCTCCAAAAGTTCCCTCTTAACTTTGAGTACATTACTTGTGTATACAGCTGAGTAACTTTAAAAAAATTAAAGACAAAGATGCTTCTCATCTTGGTAAAGTTGTGCTGGACCATAGGCAGGATTTTTAACCTTTTTTAACCACACTTGTCTTAGGCACACTAATGTGCACAAATGCACAGAATTATTTATTAATAATAAACTAATAGGAAACTATGTGTATGTATAAATAGACTAAAAGTTCAGGCAATTGGAAACAAGTGTGTTTTAAAATGTAATGTTAAATATATAGCATATGTAAAACTGCCAAATGAAGATCAGAAATGGCTCTATATTTTCACTTTAGAAAAATTATATTTAGCTCCCAAATTTCTATAAGGCCATCTGGGAGTGTTAAGATAGTGAGCTAATTACCTACTGTAGGCAGGTTTTCACCATTAAACTGAAAGGTTCCGTTTCAACTTCAACAGAATATTTCATTTTAAATCCCTGATATGGAAGACTGTGTCAAAATTGGTTCTAGCTATTAGATATTAGAAACAATCTTTTAAACAAATATATTTAATCACATGACCACAGTGTTTTAGTGTAAGCTCATTGAATGTTTGACATTATACTTGAAAAGACAGAAGGTGGGCAAAAGTGAGGACCCTCAACCCTATGAAGTGACACAGTGACTGCAACAGTGGGCTCAAGTATGTAAGAGATTGTGAGGATGGACAGGACATTACAGGGTGCAAATCTGTTCTTTATAGGGTCACTATAAGTCATATTTGACTCCATGACACCTAAGGACAATATTGTATATTATTAATGGCAGAAAAGTAAAACTACCTTGAGAATTCACAAAATGGTGGACATCTGATTCTAGTACCCTCCTTGGCTTTTGCAGTATATTCTGCATTGTTAATATGTGCCTTTTAGTAGTTGATCCAGTGAGATCTCTAAAAAAACATTGCTTTTGCCAAAATGTTTCACTTAATTTCCACATGATAAACTGCCTAGATACTACAGTGATTAGTGTAAGCAGAAACTTGGGTTGCTAGAAGGGTAAAGCTCTTTGCAAAACATATTGTTTCAGATAAAACATATGCTAATAGACATCTGAAATGTAATATTTTTTTAAAAAAAATAAATTCCTTAGATGAAATTCTAAAATACAATTAAAATTACCTTATTTTAAAAGAAATCCAAATGCCCCCCAAAAACATCAAACTCATTGTCACTGAGTTGGAACTGACTTATAATTCCTTCTGTTGGTGCTTTCAAGGCTGTAAATTGCATGAGAAGAGAATGCCTTTCTTTTTGGGGGACCAGCACTGGTGGATTTGAACCACGAGAGAAGCATGTCCTTTGGTTTGCAGTGCAACCTCTGATCGGTTATGCCATCAGAACTCTACTTTCCTGGTTCAAATTTTTAGACTCTTAATATTCATTTTTTAGTACATTAGAGCAATGATTCTCAACTTTTGTGGGTAAGGAATTATCCAAAGAGCTGCTGCTGTTGTTGTTGTTATGTGCTATAGTTCTTCTGCAACTCATACCGACCCTATGTACAACAACCCTAAATCCTGCTCTATCCTGTGCCAACCTCACTGTCTCTGACACACCTACCCCATTACCCCAGTCACTGAATCAATGCATCTTATTGAAGGTCATCCTCTCCCACGCTGTCCCTCCACCCTCCCAAGCATGACGTCTTTCTC